TTTTCATTTTATTTGTTTTATTTAAATTTGAGGGTATAATGGTCATGTTACACTGAAAAATAGTGAAAATGATGTTTTCCACACTGAAACGTTGAAATAGGGGCAAAAATGCAAAAAAATGAAACGTTGGGACGTTTTGCACACTAACTATCAAACGTAGGGACGTTTTGTGCTAATAAGCCTTTGTTTTTATGTATCGTTTACTTTAAATAAAACTAGATTAATGTAGATATGTGGTGGTTGTATTATATTTCGTGTTAACCATAAATAATCATGTTTGTTATATTTTAAACTTTTTAATTCTTATTTCATTTAATTCAGTAATTATTATTTTTAACATATAAAATTTATTTTAAATGCAAATAATAATGATGATGATGATGATGATAATAATAATAATAATAATAATAATTGTATTAAAAATTATATAACACAAATGACAAAAATACCCTCCAACAATTCATTTGACAAATGAAAAGGGGGGGCAAATTGGATTTTACACCATTTTTGCAAAATTTGGTGCCATAGGGAATAAGAGACCCTCAAATTTTGAAAGATTTCCAGACTTGGAGATGATATGTTTGCTTTGTGGAAATCGCATCCTTCTCATCTTCCCCTACATTTTCATCAACCAACCTCATGCACGCTCCAAATTTCTCTCCTTTTCATATAAAATGGATGAATCCACGGTAACTTGAATTTGTTAGTCCGTCCACCCCGGCGGCCCTCGAAGAAATTTTTTTGGCTAATCAATAGTTACACAACTAGTAATACATTTGTTATGATAAATTAAACAGTACTCGACAAAAAAGCACCAGAAGCTGAGCTTGTAAACATGTACATATGCATGTCCTCTGTAATACATAATCTTGTCCAAAAAAGACGAAAAATTTAAAACGTCATTTCTGTTAAGTAGCGAAAATAAAAAATTAATTGTTGCAATCCAGAAATATCTTGTAAATGGAATTAGATATCTGCAGCTGGAATCTTTCTTGCTCCAAAATTTGCCAATAAATCCAAAGATTAGTCCAAACTAGGAGCCTGTTCGGTCGGATTGGATTCAAAAACATCTGAATTAGATGCGTCTGGTTCGTCTAGAAGTTCCCGAGATTGGATAGATTCCTTGTAAACTAGAGTGTCCTTGAAATCTGTTGCTCCCTCATTGTATGTGGCCACAGCAATGCCACAAGCAATTAACTACAAACAAGAAGACGTCACACTAAATGGCAAATCCAGAGGCAATGAACACTATAGGGAAAATCGGGAGAGAGAATTATAATGCACTTACAAACAGAAAACTCAAAGAAAATGCATACATATGAATCTAAGATGACACATTATTGTTTGCCTTTCATGAGATCCATTGCTTGACACTAAATTGAAGCTCACCGGGTACATTAAAATGTCAATTCAGAAAGGGAAAATTAACAAGAAGTTTGAAGGGTCGCCAGTCAATTTTGAAACTTTAGGAGAGTCGGTCCCCATCCAAACACCAACTTGGTCACAGCAGTGGACCGTGTGCTTGACCTTGTTGCATTTCTAGGAAGCGGAGGAGGGGGAGGGAATGAGGCAGGCGGGTGGTGGAAGATTACATTCAACTTCCTTAAGACTTGGAGCAAATATGGTCATTTTCTTACGTGGAAAATGCTTGTACCCCCATGAATCTATATTATTGGCGTTCCAAAGAGCGCCTCCATCCAAGATTCGGCATGAATTGGTATCCCATCATGTTATTTGGAAAGTAAATACCACCGTCTAATTGTTCAAATACTCGTATCATCCCCATAATCTTTCTCTGAATAAAATTGCCACTTAAAATATAACATTGTAAGAAGAAGAAGAAGAAGAACGGGTTACACCTCAGTCAAGATNAAAAAGTGAGCACGTGAATTTCAAGATTGGTCTGCTGAAATGAGCCACCATCTTGCGGGGGCGTGTTAAGGGATATAATCCCACATCGAATAAAGATGTTGACACAGACCAATTAATAAAGATCTTGGGCTACTCCTCTTAATAAAAGTTGACCTTTTAAGATGGACCCCCAATTCTTAATATTGGTATCCCATCATGTTACTTGGAAAGTAAATATCACCGTCTAATTGTCCACATACTCGTATCCTCCCCATAATCTTTCTCTGAATAAAATTGCCACTTAAAATATATCATTGTAAGAAGAAGAAGAACGGGTTACACCTCAGTCAAGATTGTTCTTCATTCTAACTAGTTAAGTGCCTTTCCAATAAAAATATCCAAAACATGATATCTAAATTGGAATTTTCAACAGGAGAGCATTCGGCCTGTTTTTGACAAGAAACCCATGTTAGCATGTCTCACATTGAGATGTGCAATCTATAAGGGAAAGGCAAACCTCGTATTGCAAGTCCGTTTTATTAGGCCCGTGGACGGAGGAGAATTACCAGAGGTGAAGACAGCACATCTAAGTACAATTCAACTTTACTCGAAATTTGCTAAAAATCTGATTTTTATCTAAACTGAACTGGGTCTTAGTATGTGCAATCCCATAAATTGTATCAATTAGAAATTAACAGCACCAAAGCTTCATTAATTGTTCCTAGTATTGCATCATACTCGATTATATATGTTGTACTGTTATGTCATTGAGAATATTAATATCATGGAAGGTAAAGAACGCGCGATTCAAAGTGAAAACATAAATTACCGCAAAAACGATGCCAAAAGCCCACAAGTACTGCAGGACGAAACCAAGAACATCCCATTGCGGACCTTCCCAGAAGTCAGGCTTTTCTCCGGGAAGCTCTGGCATTACAAATCCATCATCAACGGCTCCGATAGTACCACTTATATCATCAACTGAAATCTCATCCATCCGTTGCTTTTCTAATACTTCTTCTTCTTGTTCCTTAGTTGAAACTGAGCTTCTTCTGTTCTTGCTGTCAAATCTTCCAGTCTTCGATGATGACGAGAGCTTCTTGGGATTCGCTGAGACTGTAAAAGATGTTCTTGGGTGATGAGACCACGATGGGGATGATGGTATGAGAAATGGACGGCGTATATGGGGTTGGGCGTAAGGTGTTCTTGTGGGTGTTTTGCAGAGGAGTCGATTACCTGTGAGAGACATTGTGGCTTTGGCCTGCGATCGAGAGGGAGCGTGTTGTGTGGATGAGAAATGACATATATCTTTAGATTCCGTGCCGGATTTTGAACAGCTAAGATACATAAAAAAATAATATCTAACAATTATGGATATTGAGAATTAAAGAAATGTAAATTGGTTAGTTTTAAAAATATATTAAAATGAGATCATAAATTCGAGACAATCTATTACTCGATTAGCTTGATCGAGTCATGTTCCTAAATAAGTAAATAACCCGACTCATAGAGAGTGCATGAGTTCAAGCACATAGGATGGAACTAAACAACCTAATAGACGTCACCGTGTAGAACTATGGTGCTATAATATTGGATTGAACTAAATGGTGCAATAAACATATTTTTTCTTTTTATTGTAATCAAATAAAAATTTCTCAAATTCCCGGTTAATTTCACTATATGGAAAAACTAAATTATTTTCTGGTGTGTTTGGTTCAAGTTTATAAACATTCAAAACATTTTTACCCCTCGTTTGGTGTACATTTTTTGAAGAAGAATTCATTTTTACTGTTGATTTGATGAGAAATATATAGGCCCTGTTTGTTTCTGATTCTCAAATCAATTCTCAAATCAATTCTCATTTTCAACCACACATTCTTCAATAAAATAATATGAGCAAATATGGTCATTTTCTTACGTGGAAAATGCTTGTACCCCCATGAATCTATATTATTGGCGTTCCAAAGAGCGCCTCCATCCAAGATTCGGCATGAATTGGTATCCCATCATGTTATTTGGAAAGTAAATACCACCGTCTAATTGTTCAAATACTCGTATCATCCCCATAATCTTTCTCTGAATAAAATTGCCACTTAAAATATAACATTGTAAGAAGAAGAAGAAGAAGAACGGGTTACACCTCAGTCAAGATTGTTCTTCTTCTAACTACTTAAGTGCCTTTCCAACAAAAATATCCAAATACAAGATATCTAAATTAGAATTTTCAACCGGAGAGCATTCGGCCTGTTTTTGACAAGAAACCCATGTTAGCATGTCTCGCGTTGAGATGTGCAATCTATAAGGGAAAGGCAAACCTCGTATTGCAAGTCCGTTTTATTACCAGAGGTGAAGACAGCACATCTAAGTACAATTCAACTTTACTCAAAATTTGCTAAAAATCTGATTTTTATCTAAACTGAACTGGGTCTTAGTATGTGCAATCCCATAAATTGTATCAATTCGAAATTAACAGCACCAAAGCTTCATTAATTGTTCTTAGTATTGCATCATACTCGATTATATATGTTGTACTGTTATGTCATTGAGAATATTAATATCATGGAAGGTAAAGAACACGCGATTCAAAGTGAAAACATAAATTACCGCAAAAACGATGCCAAAAGCCCACAAGTACTGCAGGACGAAACCAAGAACATCCCATTGCGGACCTTCCCAGAAGTCAGGCTTTTCTCCGGGAAGCTCTGGCATTACAAATCCATCATCAACGGCTCCGATAGTACCACTTATATCATCAACTGAAATCTCATCCATCCGTTGCTTTTCTAATACTTCTTCTTCTTGTTCCTTAGTTGAAACTGAGCTTCTTCTGTTCTTGCTGTCAAATCTTCCAGTCTTCGATGATGACGAGAGCTTCTTGGGATTCGCTGAGACTGTAAAAGATGTTCTTGGCTGATGAGACCATGATGGGGATGATGGTATGAGAAATGGACGGCGTATATGGAGTTGGGCGTAAGGTGTTCTTGTGGGTGTTTTGCAGAGGAGTCGATTGCCTGTGAGAGACATTGTGGCTTTGGCCTGCGATCGAGAGGGAGCGTGTTGTGTGGATGAGAAATGACATATATCTTTAGATTCCGTACCGGATTTTGAACAGCTAAGATACATAAAAAAATAATATCTAACAATTATGGGTATTGAGAATTAAGAAATGTAAATTGGTTAGTTTTAAAAATATATTAAAATGAGATCATAAATTCGAGACAATCTATTACTCGATTAGCTTGATCGAGTCATATTCGTAAATAAGTAAATAACCCGACTCATAGAGAGTGCATGAGTTCAAGCACATAGGATGGAACTAAACAACCTAATAGACGTCACCGTGTAGAACTGTGGTGCTATAATGTTGTAATCAAATAAAAATTTCTCAAATTCCTGGTTAATTTCACTATATGGAAAAACTAAATTATTTTCTGGTGTGTTTGGTTCAAGTTTATAAACATTCAAGACATTTTTACCCCCCGTTTGGTGTACATTTTTTGAAGAAGAATTCATTTTTACTGTTGATGTGATGAGAAATATATAGTTGAAAAATAAGGAAAAGTTATTGATGTGATGGAAAATATTATTTTATTGAGGAATGTGTGGTTAAAAATGAGTAGAAGGATGAGAATGAAAAAAATAATGTGGCTCAAACAGGACCTTAATCCGAATATTTTTATAGATTTACAAGAACTACCCACTTAATCATCATTTGTTTTATCTATTTATGAGCCTATTTGAGCCCCATTTTTTTGATGAAAATTAATTTTGATGGAGAACTTGTGGTTAAAAAATATGAAATTTTTTGAATTTGCGTGTAATATTATTTTATTGAAAAATGTGTGGTTGAGAAGAGAAAAAAAAATATTTTGAAAATGATTGGGATCAAACAAGGGCTATAATTGAAATAATTTATAAACATTTCAAAAACGAGTAATTTATGCTTATCTTGAAAATAAGTTGAGAATTATTAGAAAAGAAGAAAATTTCTTATCTCGAAAATGAGTTGAGAATTAATTTTTTAAAAGGTAATTTATGCTGAACAAGCTGCAGCAATTAAAGATGGAAGATGGGCTATTGGTTATGAATCAACGGAGTGAGTGTCCCACAGGATTTTGGGCCTGACCTTTCAACTTTGGTGGTTCAAGTAGGCCGCAACAATGGGCCTCAATGTTGAAGAGATTTTCCGTGTTTTGCAAGTCCGTAACAGATTGGATTGACTAATGAAAACAAATCGAAAAATAATGAAGGTACAGGGAAATTTATACAGAAATTTGAATTCTGAGTCACATGGTGCGGGCCCCATGTATTAAATATTGGGAAAAAAAATGTTGCTCCCGTCTTTGACTGTGTCTGTTTTGTAGGTACAGAAATTTTGTATTCTTGTAAAATTCATGTACCTATAGCATGGTTGAAACAAACCTACACAGTTCAAAGAGCCTATCACACAAGGATAATTAATTCCCTACAGAGTGAATGGTTCACTGGATTTTTACAGGTGTTGCCATCGGCCCTTTTTTTTTTCTTTTTCTTTTTTCATTATCCAATAAAACTACTCCATGCGTTATCTGTAAAAACAAAAAATATTGTGAAAACTTTCTGTACTTGTAGCTTTGTACATCTCACGACTACCTAATATTTTTCTATAAACATAAAATCAATTTTTTTCAAGATTTTCAATAATTATGTTTCCCAAAGCGATACTTTATTCCACTCCTTTCATTTTTATTCTAGGCGTGAATGCATATATACTTTCTCAACCACTTTAAAACATGTCGATTTGACCTCTTCATTCTAACAAAAGGATCGTAATTATAGGAAGTTTGGACTAGTTGCTCCTCTGATCCGAAGTGGTTTCTTGAGGAAGGGCAAAATCTCACCTTATAGTAAATTGCATCCATTCCATGGGCTAGCTCCAAAATATTCCAAACGAATGGGCTAAGAATGTTGCTTCCTTTGGCCTTTTAGTGGAACAATACACCAAATGTCAGTTACCCCATCCAAATACATGTAAATGTCCAAGACTCAATGTTAGTCTAAACTGAGAGAGTTTGAATGCAATATCCACCTATTAAATAGGAACGAAAGTCGACTTTAGTTTTATGATGGTATCGTGTAGAAAAGCATTCCCTCAACAGGTAAAAAGTTACCATTCTCGAAAAACTCACATCATTGAGACTATAAATCAGAGTGATAATATAATCTAACATCTTACATAATATGTACTTCTTGATATGAGGTTTGCCCGTGATTAGTATAAAACACTCCCTTTTATTGTATAGATGCATTATTAGACCTATTTATGGCTATTTTATCTAACTTTTGACACTTCAATGGAAAGAATTGATGCTACGGTGTCGACTCTTCACCACATAATACCATTAGTTTCACTAAAGAGATATGCTACACGTACAAAGCTAAAGTGTCTTGTATGTTAACAAGGGGGCAGTTGTCCTATTATTGGCCGCACCCAATAACAATTTTTTGAGGCAGCCAATAACAGGGGGACAATTGTCCCCGTTTAAAGCCCCTATGAGTAATTCCCTGGGAATTAGGGAATTACTCCACTAAAATGATACTAGGAAAAAAATCACAAGTACATGGATTTTTTTATTACAAATGCTTTACGGATGTTGCGTTGACAACACTTGATTCACATGTTTTTTTTTTTCCCCAATGAAATGTGCCAAGTAGAAACCTGTAAAAACTCTATGAAAGTTCTATGCATGAAAGTATGGGTTCAACTTATCTTAACGGCTTTTTCCAGTGACTATTACTCTCACTAACAATTGAATCTTTCACTAGAAAAAGAAAACTGTCGTTAGTTGATGTAGACTTTTACCATACTTCGACGTAGACAATATAAGAAAAACACCACTTCAATCATAAAATTCTTGACGTGTGTCGAAAATTTCACATCTCTATGTTTTAAATTTGGCTGGATTGTGATTATAATGGATTGAGAGACCATCCTTATCATTTTGATTAAATTTTGCTATATTTTTATAATGTAAAATAAATTTTACCTCGATTATATTAGAATTTTGCCCCGGGACTGGTTCGAGGCGGGGACGGATAACGGGGGCCCCGCCCCGCCGCGTTAAAAAACATTTTTTTCTTTTTTATTTTTTTATTTTTAGAATTCAATATTTTAAATGAAAATTTTCATTAGTTCTAATAGAAAATAGCAACTAAAATTATTTGTCTAAATCTAATGAATATGGGCAATAAAAATAAATTATCAAAAACTAAAAAAAAAAAAAAAAAATTTAAAAGGTGCAGGGTCCCGCCCCGAACGAGGCGGGAATAACCCGCTTAAACAGGTAAAGGGGGCCCAACCCAGCCCCGTTAAATTTTTTTTTTTTTTTTTTTTTTTAGAATTCAATACTTTAAATGAAAATTTTCATTAGTTCTAATAGAAAATAGCAACTAAAATTATTTGTCTAAATCTAATGAATATGAACAATAAAAATAAATTATCAAAAACTAAACCCGCCCCATTGCAATCCCTTAAAAAAACAAATAACATACAGAGCTAAATCATAAATTCATTATAGAAGAGGGACCACTGTTTTTATAGTCTATCATTTTTTAGCATTTACTCGCTATACATTCCTCAAAATAAGACAAATCCACGAGCCACTGCGTCCCGCCACCCCCAACCTTTATGGTCACAATAGTAGGTAGTACTAATTCATCTCATACATAACGTCCAAAAAGGTTACAAAATGCACATGACACGATTCATGTTGTTGCATTATGGTGACTTGCCGTGCCTACATGGTTGCATTGGAGTGCCATCGGGTGCCGACATCGGTGCTTTGACATGCCTTCGTCTCAAGGATTAAGTCATGCACGCAGAAGTATGAATTAATTCAAATTGTGAATAATACTTCTATTATATTTGAAGGTATTTGTAACTCGAATTTTCATTGTTCCCCCGTTGTTTAAAAGGTCCTTTGGGAGAAATTTCGTCTACATATTTTTCCAATGTATTCTATGTTATGGAAAGAAGACTATTATTGTAAATTATACCTAAAGTTACTGTGAATAAAATTTGAGGCCAAATTTGTATCAATAACGTCCACTGGTACATCAAGTGGAGGAGTATTAGTGGACCAGAAATGCCTAAGTAAAATCTTAAAATAAAATTGGTGAATAATAAGAAAGAGAGAGAAACTGCCCATTTTTTGGACCCCACAAAGAATCCCAAAATTAAGACAGACAGCCAGTAAGATTGCAGAGCTTAGGATAAACCTTAATCGTCTACCAATCAGAATCCAGATAAGAAATTTTTTAGGGTTCCAAAGATGTTACTGACCATATGCCATAAGAAACCACCAAAAGTGCATGGGTTCAATAGTAAAAGCGCCATCTGTGGGGTCACCCACCCTCTAATAATTATTCTACCAAATTATTTTGCCACTTGGTCACTCAACTTTCGGAAAAAGTTTAATTGAATCATTCAACTTTATTTTGTTTCAATGTTAAATTTAGTCTATGTCTGGTAGTGATTAAAATCAAGATTTTAATTTAAATTAAAGTTCATAATTAATTTTAACCACGTATTTAATGAAATTCGTAACTTTTCAACCACACATTTCATCAACTTTCATCAAAATTAATTTTAATCTCCATCAAACATGCTTATCATTGTTAAATGAGATCATTCCACTCATGTCTTTTATTAGTTTTAGTAATAAGTAAAACTAACCATCTAGTTGACAATTGGTCGACAAAAAAATAAATCTAGAATAAGTATAATTATTTTATTTGTTTTGTTTAGTCCATTGTTCAGCTAAAAAATTAATTAAAATTAATAACACATTTCATCATCTTTAATAAAAATACACTAAAAACCTGATTTTTATCTAAATCAAACAGAAATTTAATTTGGACAAAAATAATAATCAGCGAGGAGTACACACGATTCCTGGTTTGAAAATTTTATGCATAGCTCGCTCATCCGAAGCCCCCAAAGAATTTGTGGTCACATTTTATGGTAGTGGTTGGCAAATAACAAGAGTAGTTAGTTAGATTAATGGAATTGCCATATTGTAGTAAAGTTTAACTTCATTGACCAATCTAAAATAAAGAAAAGCTTAGTGACCAATATGATATTTAGCTAAAAATTTGATGACCACGACTCTATTGGACCGTTAGTTCTTTGTGTGTACTCAAATACTCTTTCCACACTTCAATCCGGTACTGTTTGAACTGAATTACCAAGCCTCAATGTTCTAAACGTATAATAATTCTTCTGATTCTTTAATAATATTTAGCTTTATACTATGAATACCGAAAGAAAAACTGCAAGTATCCTCGGAGGCAAGACGGCCAAGGCTTGCGATGGCTGTTTACGACAAAGGGCTAGATGGTATTGCGAGGCTGACGACGCTTTTCTATGCCAATCCTGCGATGCATCGGTGCATTCGGCTAACCAATTGGCGAGTCGACACGAAAGGGTTCGACTAGAATCCTCATCTTGTAAGGGGAAAGGAAATGACGATTCGGGACCGGCTTGGTACCGGGGATTCACTCGTAAGGCTAGAACTCCGCGGCAGGCCAAGTCGAGTCCAGCGCAACCTTCTCTTTTAGTCCCGGAGATTAACAGTGAAGACACTTCTCCAGTGGAAAATGAGGATCAATTTCTTTATAGGGTTCCTGTTTTTGACCCTTTTGATGCTGACATTTTTACAGCATCAAATCCAACCGAGAATGAATTAATCGACATTTTGTTGGATGATGAAAAAGGATGTGATCTGGATATTAATCCAGTGTTTATTACATCTGATGCTGAGCTTGCAGAGTTTGCTGCCGATGTCGAGAGTTTATTAGGAACGGGAATTGAGGAGGATTCTCATGTGATTGAATTAGGGTTGGGAGGAATGGATTGTAAAAAAGATATAATCGAAAAACGGATAAAGATTGAGAACGATGACGATGATGATGAAATGAAAGCCGTTATCGCCTGTCATTTGGATCCAGCGTTGGATATGGCTAGGGAAACATTCAACTGGAATTCTGATTATGCATCTCCATTATTGAATGAAGAAGCAGATGAGGAGAAAAAAGTTATGGGAACCGTGACGAAGATGATTGATTGTCAAAGTGAAGCAGAAGTTAGTAGGAAAATGTTTTTGACGCTCAACTATGAAGCAGTTATCGCTGCTTGGGCTGGCCGAGGTTCTCCATGGACGAATGGTATTCGACCTGAGTTCTTCAACGTCAATGACTTCTTGGTAAGCTAATTCTACTTAACCATCTCGTCTAAAAACTTAAATTATGTATTTCATGTGTAATAGTAGACAACACCACTTCGTCTGACATCTTGTACCCTAATTTTTGCATGATTTCTTGTGATTGAATGCAATTAAATTATGCAAAATGGTGGATATATTTTGATTTAAAAAAGTAAATTGGTTTAACTGAATTGATGGTTTTGGTCAAATTGTGATTAACATCTTTTGATCAATATAAATCTTTAGGATACCAGCCTTAATCCGTATGAAGGACTTAGGGGATGGTTGGGAGGCTGTGACCCTGGAAGAAGAGCAAGAGTGTCAAGGTACCGGGAAAAGAGACGAAAAAGATTGTTCTCAAAGAAGATTCGATATGAAGTTAGAAAATTGAATGCAGAGAAGAGACCTCGAATGAAAGGTCGATTTGTAAAACGAACAACCTTTGGAGGATCTGTGTTCTTTCCTACCTAATAAGTAATGAATAAAGGATCAAGATTAACACATTACACAGCCAAGTTCCTAGCTTAGGAATTTGGATTTGTTGATGTATGGTGAATGATGTAATAGTTAATTGAAGGAAACTGCATATTATAGTTAAGATTACTTTCATCAATGTCTCTAACTTTTGTTTTTGACATTGTTGTTCTTAGTTAACCTTTCCTTAATTAACATGTGCGGTCTGGTTTTAGTCTAAGTTATATGTTAATATGGTGTAAAATGATGGGTTCACAATCAAATTAAAAGAAACAAAAAAAAAAAAAAATGAAATGCACATAAACCCAATAATTCGAATACCATCATGATTATTTGTTTTTTTTACATCATGATAAATAATTGTTAATTGAGTTAATTTCTACCTGATTTTATGTAAATATGACAATTGTAAGTAAAACCTTGATTTGAAGGCAAAAAGAAGGTTTTTGGCCTAATTGGAATTGGTTCGATGGAATTAAAGACTAACTAGATTGCATGGGATTGATAAGAAGTATTAAGAGAATAAACGACAGAAAATCGTGAAATTCAACTTATCAGATGTTTGGGATTAATTTACACACTTTTGATATTGGATTATGTACTTCGTGTATTCAAATTAGGAGGAGGAGCCATTGAGTGAAAAAATCAATAAAGAAATAAATTATGCTCGAAATGTCTTGCCTTTTTTAAGTCCTTTGTTGCAGCCTGCAGGCGGCTGTGCTGGGCTGCAGGCATGCCCCAGTGGCCAGTGCGGTCATGTGCTATAACTGGGCCTGAATGCGCATAAATAGAGTGTTGGGTGAGAGCGAGAGAGCTAAAGGGTTTTCTATAGTCCAAGATCCAGGCCGAGGAGCGGTTAGAGCTGCCATCTCATGCATTCCGGCTTTATTATTATTGTTATTTATTTCTTAAATTTGAGCTGTATTTTAAAATAAAAATAAACATAAAAAATTATCAGGGAAGAAAAATTCACATCCACATTTTGGATGTTTCGAACCATGAAACCGACTTTGGAAGCATGGAATACGTGAAAAGTACTACGTGAACTTTACAAGAAACAAAGTTAGTTAAAATCCTCCGTCGTGAAGTTGTACAGAAAAATAAAAAGAAACAAAAGACAATAAAATTGCCTTTCAACACCAATCAGTGCTTTTTTTACCGAATAGATGAATGATGAATTTTGAATGGGGGCACAATTACTAGTTCGCACTTGTTAAAGAATGCAGCACAATACTCGGATAAAAGGTAACTTATTGCATCATTTTGTTTCAAACATAATGCGGAAAACACACATGAAAACCAAATCAGCCGACCATTGGCCTCTATACGTCTGAATGTAACTAAAGACATAATCAGGATAACAACAGTCCAACTATAGCAAAAAAGCTCAATAACTGTTCGATTTGCCTGCTTCCTGAATTCAATCACCTGCCAAAAAGGAGAAGGGAATAGATGAGCAGAATCAGGGAGTTAATAGAATTGAGGAGCTTCTCCTTATTTGCCTTTAAAAAAAAAATGGAAGATATAAAAAGTATGAATGACCATTGAGATTCGAAGCCAGAATTCAGTACCAAGGCAAAGAATCCTAAGCAATTAAAAAATGCATCAAAGATCATGTATGTCCTATATTTTGGCCTAAACTCCCAAGAAACTAAACAGAACTGTTTAACAAGACCAAAGAATGGTCCATGAAGGAGAAATAGAATCAAACATTAGCAACAGTGGATTTTCATATTTTGGAGTCTGATGGCCGTTAAAAAGCACATTTGAGCTCATTAAGGCCTTGTTTGTTTCTGATTAAAATCAGATTTTAATCTAAATCAAAATCAAACAATCAATATTAACCACATCTTTCATAGGTCCCACAACTTTTCAACCACATATTTCAAAAACTTCTATCACAATCTACTAAAAATCCAATTTTAATATCCACCAAACACCCTCTAAAACAATTTGAAGTCATTAAATCTAAGTTTGGTAGATTAAAAAAAGGAGAACTGTGTGGGTAAGTGAATTACATATACAAATTGGTCAAATCAAATCAGAAATAATATGAAGAGGCCATAAGATTTGTGCGAGTTCTTGATTTCAGGTTATTCACCCTAATGATTGAAATCAGTAACAGGGTGAAAGGAAGCAAATCGCACTCTATGATCGTGGACCATATTACTTGCACGACCATGGTACAGGGAGTTCAGCAGATAGATAGTAACAACTTCAAGGGCAATCATGTCCAACGTCTAATAAACATTCGTATTACCATATTTGGTGGTAGAAATAACCAATCACTTGACATGGCATACTATGACTCAAAAGGAAATGTTCATCACAAGGGCAAAGAAAGATCAATTTGAAGAACAAATTCAAGAGTGTGTAAGTAGTTCAAATTAATGAAGCGATCTTTGTATGTACGAGGACGGATGCGTTCAAACACATTACACATACAACTACAACAGTGCACCACGTAAATCTTTACAATCAAAGATAGGTTGTAGAAACTCATCATAGCATTAACACAAGGTCCCCCACTGCATGCTCTCTTTTACAGAAGGGCATTCGCGCACATACTTTGAACTTATTTGACATACAGAGTTAAAGACTGAATGTGCATCAAAAATCACTCAGCTTTGCAAATGTATGCCTAAATCACTCAACCTTTGGCAAACCGTGTTCAATTCATCATCAATGTCAATAAATAAAGCATATAGCATCAGCTCATAATAAACTTCAGAAGTGGGGAGAATGAAAATTCTTTGAAAGGGAGACATCATTTTTTTTTTCCAATCACAATCACTGCAACCCCAAAGTAGGACCGACAAAGGTTATGACGATTTTCTTTCCATCAAGCGGAGACAAAACCCACCTCTACAGCCAGATATGATAGCCTTTTTTCTGATGTGTTCATTCAATACATTGCTAAAACAACATCAAAATGGAAGGGCAACTAAAGAAGCTACAAGTAGCAAGCCAATAGCAGTTGACTTAAGCAAAGCATCTAGACAACATAATAAGCCTTATAAAATGTCATAATCTAAGGGAACGTCTAGTAAGGTGTTTATAAATAGTGATAAATGAATGGTGGAGAATTGGGTAGTACTTGTGGGTTTTAAGAAATGCATGGATAAATATTAGTTAGACCGAAAGTGTTTTTTGACAAAGATTTTTATAAACATCTTCCCAAAAATAAGCTAAGTAGTATTATGTGCAAGTCATATGATCGGATCCTATAATCAGATACTGAAAGCATTAAAATACCAAATAATTAACCTAAAAAGTAAGAAAGAGGCTTCACTTGCTTGCTTGTTTCCTTAGCACGTGATGAGCTTACTGGTCACCTGCCGCCATAACACATCTCAAGAAAAAGGCTTATGTTTGGGGAGAGAGGAGGGATTGGTGGTGTTATTTCCTATCTGCAAATAATTCCATTTCCTAGCTATTCATGATTCACAAGTCAAACTCAGAGTGGCTGCAAACAAGGAGAAGAAAAAATACAGATTTCGTGTCTGAGGCTCTACAGCGGTTCAATTCATTAATGAAACAGCCATCTGAATAACATCAGAAAATAAACCAGATTTTTCAATTTACATGAAATCTGTTTTCCTGAAATGCTAAATAAAATAGAAAACATATGAACGTAGTCCATTGCTCTAATCAATTATACATTCAAAATAACAAAAATATGACAAAAATTAATGAAAATTGCAACTCTCAGTAATGATAAAAGCAAGTAAAAAAAAACTCGGTGAAATACCTCAAATTATTCGAACCCATAACTCATTCAATCAATTACTCATTCGGCCTCGGCCTCCACCTTTGGACCTACAAGTCACAACACAAACCAATTATTTATCACGTAATATCAATTCATAGAAAAAAAGGCCCAAATCTACATGGGGAATGATATGGAGGCACCGTGGAGGGAATGAGGGCGGTGGTCCTTGCCCCAGCCAACGCCGCGAGTGGCGTCGAGGTACTGTTGAACGAGGTGGCGGCACTTCTGGAGGTGGTTGACTCCCTCTACACGGTAACACCACTTCACTTTCTCTCTGAGAATCTTGGCTTTCTCGATGTCGATCCACTTCTCCCTCACCAAATGCTCCCTCATCTCCAACATCGCCACCGGGTCCTTGTACGGGTTATCCGGGTCGAAGTCATCCGGGGCACCCTCGTCACTGAAGAATACTCCCTTTTTACGACCCATTTCACCTGAGTTCTTCCGATTTTACTCTAGCTATTTCTCTCTCTAGAAGTCGAGAAGGAGATTGGGGCTTGAGGGTTTGATTTGTGAATGAGAAAGTTTCACAGTTAGCTCCTCACATATGGTCCTTGTTTCAGCTTGGTCCCTACCCTAATTTTCTTTTCAGTATTACATGAAACCTCTAATTTTGTATCCTTGGTAGTATTGTTCATCTTTAAAGACATAACATAACCCTGTTTTGTGCACATTTTGAGTCTAAGAATGCATTTTTTTGTTTGATGTGATGGAAAATTTGTGGTTGAAAAATAAGAAATGATTATTGATGTGATGAAAAATATTATTTTATTGAAGAATGAGAATAAAAAAATAATATGACTCAAACAGGGTTATTTGACCAACTAAAAGAAAATGTTATAATATACTTCAATACAGAAGTGATCTCTTACCCATCACGGGTAGGAATTATCCACCGTTAAGCTGACAGTGACGTCTACAATTTTTGACAATTCAATGTTAAATTTATTACAAGCCACACAAAATATGGATTTCGCGATTTGTGGCGTATAAGAAATCCTCTAAATTATTCCCACACATATTTGACACATGGTATCACGAAACGCAAATTTTCTTATAAGATTCACCTCGAGATAGTCTTTTCCTCGTTCTTAGACCAACAACTTGAAACAACTTGTACACAAGCGCACTTATGGTTATAATGCTAGGCAATACATGTATACGATGATATTGTTAGTGTGCACTCTTCGACAACAATATATGTCATATGTCTAGCTATTGAAGACCTTACACATGCCCATTCTAGTCATGAGTTCAGTCTTGTTCGGGGATGATTGTCTAATCAAAACACTTCTAAATGTCGAATGACTATTACTTATAGAAGTAACGGGTCAAAGGGGCCTATTGAACTTTGAATTAATCTACTTATATAATGATGGTTGACGAAACTTGTTAATAACATTTGATGTGGCAAAATCTGGACAATTGATTAAAAAAATAGCTTTTGAAATTTTTGTAAATGGATGAACGTGTTAATGCCAAATCATGATGTTAAACAACTTTGTCAACCATCATTATACATGCAGCATTATTGATCGAGCTTACGAGGGGTGACATAGTCATCAACCATTGCTCTTAGAATGATAATAGGTCAAAGGGGCTTATTGAGCTTCAAAGGGGATTGCCCAGTCATTTCTCAAACCAACTGCAAAACTTAGATTATTAGTTTATAATTTACTAAGTAATCAAGTCTCGTTTATATCTTTATCAATATCAATGAAATCGATATATGCATCTCGAATGTCGTGTTTACTTATCTTTGAACTTCACATATTTAACTTAATTATTTTCGACTCTTACTAATTTAAATTTAGATTAATCCACATGTACAGAAAATGGATTCACATAATTTTTACACACTCTCGCATGAGGATGGGTCCCATACAATAAAAAATGAAAAAAATTACCCACCCACCCCGTCCTTGTGAGTGTCTGTTGAGCTTCCGTACCTGTACACGTAGCATGTCTCTTTAAATTTTGTGTTTTATAAAGTAAATTTAGTTATAAACAAGCTTTTAAATTTTAGCCAAACATCTTCTATAAATTGCATTTTGCTTATGCCTACATTTACATCTGCAACGCCTCCCAAAAAAAAAAATCCCTAAAATTAATTTAAAAAGAAAAAACATTTCAAAATCCAAACACGTTATTATCGGAAGGCTAGTTTAGCATGTTCACAACAGTCGGTTCAGGGTCCCACTTTACTCTTCTTCGCCACCGGCTCAAATCCGAGCGTCAATTCCAACTCAATGCCGCTCCCATCGGCTGTCAGCTCACCTGACTTAGCCGATGATGCTTCCACTGTCTCCATGGACGCGCTGTCGCCCTCCCTAATCTCCAAGCCGCGGCTGAACGGCATCTCCTGTTCACCTTGACTCACCCCAGAGTCGCGGCTCGGGGATGTAACCCCCAGCTCCTCCTTCTCGTGGCACCAGCTCCACATGACCCGGGCCGCGTTATTGACATCGTCATGTGAACCAGCCCGCAGCTCCGGCTTAGCCTCAACTTTCTTGAACCGACCACGTGTCTTGACCTTCTGCGAGTCTCGCGTCCAGGCAGCCGGATTGTCGTCCTTTGACACGTGGCGAATATCACCAGCCTTTAACGGTGGACTCATCATGGTACTCGCCGCCGACTCAGAAGAGAATTGCGCCACAGACGCACCGCTCAACACGGCTTCAACTGCCGCCTGGCAAAGATGCCAGTTCCCAGAACACAATAGACCGGTCGCCCCATTTATTGGATTGACAATACGCCCACATGATTCATATAACAATGATCTAAAGATCGCTGCAATTATTTTAAAAAAAAAAATTAGTAACCAGAAAGTAGAACGCTGACTGTGGAAAGGTGTGTGGAAAAATTATTTTGATTAAAAAGTTTCATAAAAGTTTTTGAAAACACAAAGAAATAGGAAACTGCTTTGCGTTTTAAAAAAGATTTTGAGAATTTCGGCACTTATTACCAGGCTGCAATTCTTGGGCGCCGGCATTGATGAGGTTAAGGAGACCAGCGCGCCCATAAAATTTGGCGAGGAAAACGGTGGCGTTGGATTGCGCTTCAGGTGTTTTGATCCATTGAAGGCAATGTCTTATTGTGCAGTTTTCGCTGCAGCCTTTTCGGAGAACCCGGCATCCATTGCAACTCATTCGCATGGCTACCAATTCTAGTAAACTTCTTTCACTAAAAGTTATCTAATTTCTGGCTTTCAAGCTGGAAATACGAGATCGGGAATGGGGATGGGAGAGTTTATCCTGTGATTGAGGATTGGGAAATGGGTTTTATAAATCTTGGAGCGCCGCAAGTGGTTTCTCCTGTAATGCTGTATTCTGTGGGACGTGCAAAACTGTCTGCTTTCCTATTTTTTAAGGGAATTCTTCATATTGCCCCTTCATTTTCTCCTTCTTTGTCCAATTATCCTTTAATTCTTTTTATAATTTCTGACGGAACAATCGCATTAAATTAAGCAAAAAGTGCAGGTACAGGAAAATTTATCACCCGTTGAATTTCATGTACTCATAGCATATCTCTAAATTAAATGATATAGAATTTTTAAGAATGAATTTTATAAGAAGTAATATTTTTTGAAAATTTATGATTAAAAAGTATAAAAAAATTATGTTTTCATGTGTAAAATTATTTTATTAAAAAAATGTATAATTGCAAATTAATTTGAAAAATTAAATTATATGTACGAATACAATAAATAGCATTTTGCACGTTTATCAAAGAATCAATAAGAAAGTCGTGTATAAGAATGTGAGACTATTTTCAATTAACATTTTGCGTGACCACAAGGCAAACAAATTCGGACAAAGTGAGTGACTTGTAATCCGAATTAATTTATAAATGCGATGAACATTCCCGACATGATGGAACCAACTTCTCAATAGGTAGAATATGTGCGTCCATTCATTAAAATTTGTTGTTTGAAATAGTAAATTGATTATGCTACTAAAAGGAGATGAGCATAATAAAATCACTTAATGAAATAAACAGACGGCTATTTTAAAAATCTAACTAGTCCAAAATAAGTAACAAATGGAGAAAAAAATGATTTTCTTTTCTATTTAATTTATTATAATTATTCGAACGTTAATGCCCATTGGATGACAACCTGAGATGTTAATTTAAAACAATTGAAGAATTCCTTGATTCTTTACAGCACAATTATAATTTACTGGACCAAATTGAGTCCACAACTGTGGGAAAGCTGCAAGATATACGAGGTAAGGTTACTATGGTCTTTTGGGTTGTCCAAGGAAGAGATGGCAGGGCTGTGATTTTAGCCTAACCTTGAGAGCTGAAGAGTCCAATACCGGCATGCAAATCAGTCCAAAACCATGAAGCCCAATGTCGCAACACGTGTAAATCCGCACTGTAGATACATGGCGGCTCGCCACATACTCTTGGAACTATGGTCTCCCTATCACGCGCCATCTTCTTCAGGCTTCAAACGCGCGCAATATAGGTGATGAAGGATTGATATTATGCCCCATTTGTCTGGGATTAGATCTAATAATTAAAATTTCAAGTTAAAATCGACAATTAATTTTAACCACCAATTTCATGAGATTTATAATTTTTCAACCATCACATTTTATCAATTTTTATCAAAATTCATTAAAAATATAATTTTAATATCTACCAAACATGACCATAATTGAAGATCGTCTAACTTGCCTCTTAATCTTGAAAGGTCATTCTTTGTCCAACCGAAGTTTAGTTTCAATTTTTTTATCGTTTGGGTTGCAAGTTAGTTTTTTATTGGTGTACTTTTACTCCAAGATGTAAGGAGGTCAATCTTCAATTTTTATTTATTTTTATTTTTGAAAAATGCTAGAAGTACACAAAGGTGTACATAAGGGTGTCCATTATGGACACCCTTATGTACACCCTTGTGTACTTGTAGCGCATCTCTTTATTTTTTTCTGTAATCATTTGTCTTCGCTACCTCATGATAAGATGCTTGGGACAAGGAAGATTAACTAAGAGTCCGTTTGATTGTAAGGATGTAAAATGAGTGGAAAGAAAATGAATTATAGGAAAAGTAATTGCCTAAAAATTATTTTCCAGATAATTGTTAATTAACAGTGTTTGATTGGTCGTGTTTTCCCTATAAATTCTATCCTCCCATTTTCATTTTTTTCATCATCACTAAGTCCATTTCCACGTGAACTTCAATTAAACCAAAATCAAAACATCTTCCTCCAATTTTCATTTTCTTCACCATCACTGAATCCTCCCATTTCCATTTTCTTCACACATCCGCCGCTAGTTGGATTTCATCCTCAAGAGATGCAATCCATTATAAATAGTTTCTTGATGATATGGGACCATAAAACTGCTCGTCTTAATGAGTATTAGGGGCCTGTAATGGAATATTGCCATGTGTGTTGGAGGGTTGGCCGAAATGGGTGTTGAACCCGTGAGTGAAGGCGTAATTTTGTTGGCAGAATTTTCGGTGATTTTGAAGTGTTATGTCTGGTTTTTGGTATGGGATTGAAGAGTGGGATGAGGAGATGATGATGGTATGAAAATCCGGTGATTTGCCGGTGATACAGTGGTTGAATTTTGGAATAGAAAGGTGCCGGCTCCATGGTGGGCATTTTCCAATTTTCCAGTTTGCCAAGAAAATAAAAAACCAGCTATCATGTGGGAATTTGAATTCCTTATTTTCATGGAAAAGGGGATCACGTGCAAGAAAGTTGGAAAATGATTTGCCTGAAATTTTTTGGCTATCAAACACCCTAAAAAATGGAAAAGTTGAATATATTTTCAATCTTCCCTGAAAAATCTGCCCAATCAAACAGGGCCTAAGCTTTTTATGTTCCGGTACAAAGTTTTAGGCACGTGATAGAAGTTGATACGATAGTTATGTATGTTTGAATTTCTTCTTAAAGCAGATAATGATGCGTTTTATGGAAAAATGTAAACCTTCATCTTTTAATGTTTAATGTAGAGCGTGTATGTAAGTCCACATTATGTGCGTGGTTTATTCGATTTTAGGATTTTTATTGTCTCGTTCGTTCTCTTCTTCTTTAGACACATTCTATCATAAATGGGTTAATTTCATCTTCACCGAACCTGGTGATTTGAGTGAAATATTTTTGTAAAGTTTGGGAAAGAGCTTAAACAAATTAAAGTTATGCGACCAAGGTGTCAAAGAGTGCAACATTGTTTCGGGTCCAAATTAACCGATTATAAATTGTTGGAAAAAATGAAGACATTTGTGCGCGGTGTTGGTGGGACAATAGCCTATGGTGGTGCAAATCTGTGTAGCGGCGATGCAATAACCATTTCATATTTTCATAATTCGTGATTGATAAATAAGTCGCGACACGTAAAAATGTTTGATTTGTAATTAAATTTATAATCGTGATCCACATTTTGTGTCTTTGTAATTGTGACGTTGTGTGATTTGTGACTAATGTGTATTTGTGATTATAAATTGCATGTTACGTGATTTTGACCTATTTAATTAATAAACACGTCACATAAACTTTATCTGATGGTCACAAATGTGATCACTTGATTTTTGAAAGAATTCCACAAGTATTTTAAAATTTGAAAGTATATCTTGAAATTATGGTAATTTGGTATTTTTCCTTACCTAATTTTCCCTGCTTTGACTCGCATACTAGCCCATGCTAATTGAGCTCATTTTTGTTTTTCATTCTTTCAAAAAATAAAAAATAAATTTATGTGTACTTATTTTCAATCACATATTCATACAATAAAATATTATACACGTAAATTTAAAAAAATTTCCTACTTGTTAATTACACATTCTTTAAAAATTCACTATTTAAAATATTATTTTTTTCAAAAAAAAAAAAAATTTCACTAAACTGGGGCTTATATTGTCGGCCCAAAGTTAGTGTAAATGTCAAACCCATTAATATCATATATTGAGAGGTCCATTGACTTTTGCTTTCAAATTAAAGGTTCAACGGTTGTGTAATTTAATTAAATATACTTTTAGCATAAGCGTTGAATTCTTTCTTCTAACTGGAAAGAAAAAATATGACTCTCTCGTGGCTTCCTGATCTCAGCGGAGAACAATTGCTCAAGGAAGTAAAGTACCTTCCCCCGTCGAAATGGATTCCCTGCCCCGAATTTGAGTTGGAGGTCAATAATTATAATACAATAAATATTTTTGAATAGTCTAAAATGATTTTAGGGTCCGTTTGATCGTAATAATGGATTTGGATGGAAAGAAAATGAATTTCAGATAATTGAATTGCCTAGAATTTGTTTTACTGAGAATTGTCAATTAATTATGTTTGATTGATATAAATTTTCATTTGAAAAATATTGAAATTTTGGATTTTTTGGTGTTTGTTTGGCTTTATTTTTCATAAAAATTATCCATTAAAATGATATAATTTGTTACAATTGGAGATAGGATTTGTTTCCATTGCAAAAAATAAAAATAAAAATAAAAAGTTGCATAGAAACACTTTTCCTCAGAAACCAAGAAAACGTGGAAAACCAATTCTACGAAAAATTTAGTCAATTAAACATGCAAAAATGTGAAAATATAATATAATTTCCATCTTCCATAGAAAATAAAGCCAAATCAAATAGGGCTTTAATTTTGTATAATCAATGTATCATGGGTTCGTGTACTTCGAGAACCACATATCACCTTGGTACTATGATGGACGATAGTGGGTGATGTGGAAGCTGCCCATGTTCGGGTGCATAGACACAATTCAAGTGTTGAACGAGTTGGATGCTTGTGCCAAGGAATACCCCAATGCATTTGTCGTGATCATTGGATTCGACACTGTGAGCCAGTGCAATGAATTTGTTTCATCGCCTACAAGCCTAAAAGATACTAGATTTCGTCAATCACTCTCTGATTGAGAGTAATTTGTTGCTAAATGTTTATATTCCTTGCTTGCTTCTTTTGTCTTTTCGATCTTCACTTCGTTGGTGGAACTGAAATGTACGAGGATAAGTACTATATAAACTACATTTATTTGGAGTTTCAATATTTGATTATTATGCATTATTTACATTTATTTTTGAACTCAATCTAGTTAGAAAGATCTCATGCTCGACCCTTTGGGATTTGAATGAGATTTCGGATCAATCTATACTGATGAGTTGCCTCCATCATGTTGTTGCTAGCAAATGCCACTATTTTTTATTTTGGATCTTTCAATTCTTTACATGTCGGTATCGAAACCCTAATCCACCATCTGCTTTCACCGTACAAGATGACAATGAAGTTGAAGTTGTTCAAGCTTGACAAGCAATTTTTGGAGCCTATGTCCTTTCACTTCCTCACATTATTGATGCCTCTCTCTTAGGTTCACTCACACATGTGACCACTAAGAGGATTTACGACGAGACTCAAACAAACTCTTAATTACACATTCTTGGAAAAATATAGTCATAAAACTTATTCTCCCAAAAAACGAGACTCGAACAAACCATTAATTCATAAACAAAAAAATATATTTGAATATATTTATTTTCTACTTAAGTAGCACGTATTTAAATTGTGTTGAACATTAAATTTAAAACATATATACTATGTAATAAATATTTTTTATTTATTTAAACTTATTTAAAAGTTATTGATACGATAAAAAATATTATTTTATTGAAAAATGTATTGTTGAAAATGAATAAAAGAAATAACGTGGCTCAAACATGGGCTAAATATTTTAATTCACACCAAACAGTGCCAAGTCATTTCTTTCTAGCCATTCGGGGTTAAGATTTTTCTTCCTTCTTCCAATGCATATTGGTTTTCATCTTTTTTATAATATTGTTTATTCCATGGCATTTTGCGTGGATCTTTGATTTAATGGTTGAGACATTTTTTCTTTTTTCAAATAAATTTAAAAATTATTTCTAAATTACTTTTTTTCAATTTTTCGGCTCAAACAAACATGCTCGTAAGTAAATGCCATCCGCCCAAGAAACGCGCCACCCTTTCCCGCCAAGCTAAAACCCCGCATATAAACAGCGAATGCGAATCCTCTAATATATACAAAACGCGCACATAAAAAGGGGAAAATTCCAAGCGCCACAACCACAGCTGTTGAAATTTCTTCTTTTTGCTCATAAAAATGGATGAAAATTTTGAGGAGAAGAACAAGCTTCCTGAACTCAAACTCGGTACTATCGAAACCCTAGTTTAATTGTATAATATTTTTAGTTTCTAGTTGATAATTATTCTTGGTTTACATATTATGAGATTTATTATTTTAATTGGTATTGTTTAGATGCTAAACAAGCTCAAGGCTTTCTCTCATTCTTCAAAACCCTTCCCAGTGTAAGCATTTCCTTTATCTCATTTTTTTGTTTATGGTGGGGGTGGGGGCAAGATGTTGGGCTCTGTTATGAAAATTTTCAAGAAAATATATTTTCCCTTACTTTCTGCAGGACCCTAGGGCTATTCGCTTCTTTGATCGCCGGGTGAGTCCTCTTCCAGTCTTCTGGGTGCACGTCCGTGTTGCGTGCTGTCAATATATAACTCGAGATGCCTTAAATCTTGATAAAAAAAAACAAGAGAGCACTTTGATGATAGATAGTGTGTTTTGAATGCAATATGGAACTTGGAGGGAAGTGAATGCCTATATTGTGAAAGGAAGCTATACAGTACAAACTGCACTCTAGATAGATGTTAGTGTTATAAGCAAGGGACTGAACTTTCCACAACTGGTAGAAATGCTATCTGTACTTTCTTTCTCATTATCTTGCAAATATATATATGTGCTGACAGGCTATTATTTTTATTATTTTTGGTTGAAATCGTTCTTATGTTAGTTTTTACTAATATCTTTTCCCAATGATTTTACCATTCAGTAGTTCACCAGTCTATTTTTCTAGGTTTCTTTTGATTGGCATTAGTGGTTCACCAGTAAATTTCTATTTTCATATGCCTTACAGGCTTTCATGCTACTGATAATTAATCAATGTACTAGGTGTTTTCCTTGCTCAGTTGCTTCTTCCAGAATTTATGGATTTAGTAATTCGTTTCACTACTTGATCTCAATTTTTGAGGTAAATTTGTGTCACCCATTCAGGACTATTACACCGCTCATGGTGAGAATGCAACTTTCATTGCAAAGACATATTACCACACTACAACAGCTTTACGCCAGCTAGGAAGTGGTTCCGATGCCATTTCTACTGTTAGTGTGAATAAAAACATGTTTGAAACAGTGGCCCGTGACCTTCTTCTTGAGAGAACTGATCATACTCTCGAATTGTATGAGGGTAGCGGATCAAATTGGAAACTAGTGAAAAGTGGAACCCCAGGAAATCTGGGTAGTTTTGAAGATATTCTGTTTGCAAACAATGAAATGCAGGATTCTCCAGTGGTTGTTGCTCTATTTCCAAACTTCCGTGATAATGGATGCACTTTGGGATTAGGCTACGTGAATCTTACCACACGAGTGCTTGGATTGACAGAGTTTCTTGATGATAGTCACTTCACAAATGTGGAGTCAGCTCTTGTTGCTCTTGGCTGCAAAGAATGTCTTTTGCCTTCTGAGAGCGCCAAATCTAGTGAATATAGATCCCTGAATGATGCAATGACAAGGTGTGGTGTGATGGTAACTGAAAGAAAGAAAAATGAGTTTAAAGGAAGAGACTTGGTACAGGATCTCAGTAGGCTCGTTAAAGGTTCTATAGAATTGGTAAGAGATCTAGTCGCTGGGTTTGAATTTGCACCTGGAGCTCTTGGTTGTATAATATCTTATGTAGAGTTACTTTCAGATGAGAGCAATTACGGAAACTATACTATCCGACAATACAATCTTGACAGTTACATGAGATTAGATTCTGCTGCCATGAAGGCACTAAATGTCATGGAGAGCAAATCCGATGCTAATAAAAACTTTAGCTTGTTTGGCCTCATGAATAGGACCTGTACTGCTGGAATGGGTAAACGCTTACTGCACATGTGGCTGAAACAACCTTTATTAGATGTAGACGAAATCAACAGTAGGCTGGACTTAGTGCAAGCCTTTGTGGAGGATACTGCCCTTCGGCAAGATTTAAGGCAACATTTGAAAAGAATTTCAGATATTGAGAGACTGATACGCTGTCTCCAGAAGAAACGAGCAAGTTTGTTTCATATTGTTAAGCTTTATCAGGTACTCTACATTTTTGCTTAAGTTTTCACTTTTGTCATGGAATCAGATGCTCTGAGTTGCTGGTAAATTAAGAAAGAAAAAGTGAGAATTTTTGGATTGTTCATAGTCTATGGCATTGGCATGAATTTTTTTTTTTTTTTTCAAATTTCACTATATTTTAAATTCTTGTCATAGTCTGACTGAATGACATGGAGTGGTAATTTGCAAGTGCTATAGGATTTCCGTATATCATTTAAAATTTTAAATGATACTATCTGCCAGAATCTACGCCAAATTAGACAAGTCTCACTTAAAATTTTTAGTTTGATGTTTGCTAGAAATTTCCTTTTGGTCTCTTCTTAATATCACATTACACTTCCTATATCCGAGCATCCCGAAGTTTTGAGACAAGTCCCACTGCTTTCATAGTATTTTCAGTTTACATAATTAATAACTATTTTTCTGATACAGTCCAGCATCAGACTCCCGTACATCAGAAGTGCATTAGAGCGGTATGACGGCCAATTTGCTTCACTGATCAAGGAAAGATATTTGGATCCTCTAAAGTGTTGGACTGATGATGGACATCTGAATAAATTCATTGGTCTAGTGGAAGCTTCTGTTGACCTCGATCAACTTGAGAGTGGAGAATACATAATATCATCTGCGTATGATTCAAATTTATCTGCTTTGAAGAATGAGCAAGAGACACTAGAGAGACAGATACATAATTTGCATAAACTAGCAGCTGCTGATCTCGATCTGGTTCTTGATAAAGCTCTAAAATTAGAAAAAGGAACCCAATATGGTCATGTCTTCAGAATTACGAAGAAGGAAGAGACAAAAGTGAGGAAGAAGCTGAATACCCATTTTATTATTCTTGAGACTCGTAAAGACGGGGTAAAATTTACAAATACAAAGCTCAAAAAACTTGGGGATGAGTACCAAAGAGTACTTCGAGACTACATGAACTGTCAGAAAGAACTGGTTGCAAGGGTAGTCCAAACTGCTGCCAGTTTTTCTGAGGTATCGATATCCATATTATAAAATACCGTTGTGCTCCCCCCTGGCCTTTGTTCTAGGTTAATGAATTAATTCATTGCAGGTGTTTGAAGAAGTAGCTGGTTCACTTTCTGAATTGGATGTCTTACTGAGTTTTGCGGATTTAGCTGCCTGCAGTCCCAGTCTGTACACAAGACCAAGCATCACTCCATCAGTAAGGATAACTAGTAATCTACTGTTTTGATCTCTGCTATGATAATTGCTTATTTTATGGAATTGGCTCTACAGGACGTGGGAGATATAATATTACATGGGAGTCGGCATCCTTGTGTTGAAGCTCAGGATTGGGTGAATTTTATCCCGAATGACTGTAAACTAGTGAGTAGTCATGTAATCTGGGGTTGACCTATCTTTAGCAATCTGTGTTGAAGTGATTACCCACTTCTATGGTCTTTCCAGGTTAGGGAAAAAAGTTGGTTCCAAATCATTACAGGGCCTAATATGGGTGGAAAATCCACTTACATACGGCAGGTATGTTGCTTCAATTTAGTTGAATATTCAATTTTTCCTATCAAATTTACAAGCCCCAGAATAGCAGCTTTGTTGTGCATAATTAGAATAATCCTTTTGCAGTGTAGATGAGGATTATCAAGGATTGGGCAGTGGGTGGTTGCAGATTAAGTTTTAGGGTTTAATTTTATCTAGATTGTTTATATCAGAGTTTCATATATCCTGCCCTTTCCTCTTTTTATCTTAATTTTATTAATCTCTTCTATTAGTCTCTCATTCTTTAACGATATTGTGTCAGTCCTATTTGTTGAAAGCATTATATGCATTGACTATGAACTTGACATGAGTGAAGCCTGGATTTTGCCATCGTGGAAAGCTAAGTACAGGGTTTATAGCTCATCCTAGATGTTTAAGCTATGATTTTAAAATGGTTTGATTTGTTTCGCATATATATCTAGAAAGTCCATGTTTATGCATTTTATTCAGAACGGATTTGATTTTTATTTTAGTCCTTTCAATACAAGGTTGAGCTGCATTTGGTTTCAATTCAATTGAGAGACTAATCATCTTTTAGTTGTTATCGTCCCTATCTTCATTTTCCTCATTGGAAACCAAATATCCATTGCTTTAAGTTTAGATCTGAACCAGCAATGGTTTCAGATTTGTTTTGTATATTAAGACAGTTTTTGCTTACGAGAAAATAAGTATCATTGAGTAGCATGTTTTTAAAATCGAGAAGGTGTAATTTCCTTCTCCTCTCACTTGAATATCCAGTGTGGTTCTGTCCATGGGTAAAGGCAACAACGTTTTGATTCTTTTTGCTAAATTCTTTGGATGCTCAACAAAATATCCATGGAGACTAAACCTGTACCCTCTTTAGTGGTCCTTATTAGATATAATATTTGGGATTATATCCTGTTAATAAAACTTTTGGCAGGTTTTACATAGTTACTTTATGCAGGTAGGAGTGAACATTCTGATGGCACAAGTTGGTTCCTTTGTCCCTTGTGACAAAGCTTGTATATCTGTTCGTGATTGCATTTTTGCTCGTGTGGGTGCTGGTGACTGTCAGGTCAGTTGTATATTCTAATGGTCATAGGAAATCAAATTATGTGAAATTCAACTTCAATAATTCCAGGGTATATCAAGCATATTATTGACTAATTTATATGTAGTGTTGGCCCCTAATGTTTCATTGGTGACCTGGAAATATTATCAACAGTTGACGTCTCAACGAGTGTCCTGCCTGGAAAGAGCGATGACTAAGCCCCCAGAAGTTCTTGAAAAATAAATTAACATGTTTTTGCTTTCAATGTCAATACCACTTGCATACCTTCAAATTTCAAGCTTATTTCATGGTTGCTTCACTGTTAAAGGCACTTGTCTTGTGCGGTCTTATGCTTTTGTAAAAAGTGTGGGTTAGGCTACAATGATGGTCCAATTTAATTAATTCCACCCTGCATGTTGTTATTGTTAGTAAGAGCAATGCCTTCTTGTTAACAATAAAGAAATTATATGAATTCTAATGACTATTACACTTTTAACACAGTGCTTTCTTTAATTTAATTATTTCATATGTTCCTTATACAGCTACGTGGAGTTTCTACTTTCATGCAAGAAATGCTTGAGACAGCATCAATCTTGAAAGGAGCAACTGAGAAGTCTTTGATAATAATAGATGAATTGGGTCGTGGCACATCGACATATGATGGATTTGGTTAGTCTCATATTTGAATACTTTTAAGATATTGATATTTACCCTTCTGTTCAGTGTAGCTGTGTTTTGACTGTATAGTTTCCCACCCTTCCTCACTACAGTATTCATTCATCATTCTGTATTTGTTCTTTTGGTGCGCTGGCGATACAAAGCTGAGAGTTTGAATTCTTTGGCGTGTGCTCAAATATACAATACATGAAAATAAAACAAATCACGGCTGCAGGGTTCTTGAAGTGTAAGTGTAATTGTTATGCCTGGCTATAAAGCGCAGCACATACTTCTTCTTCTCCCCCAGTATGTGGGGACTTCTTATCCGACCCATCCCTTGGGATTTCACTCATCAAGTTCTTGTTGGATCTGCTATGACTTTACAACTTCCATCCTTTGGCCCTTTGCTGGCTCCACTATCCCTCCACGTCTTCAGCTGTAGAGCCAAAGAGGTCTACTCAATCAAAATCAATTTGGTATTGAAAGTATTTTTAACCCATACATATTATTGTGTGAGCAAACATTTTTTAAAGCGGTTTTGGTCATCAAAACCTATAACTTTAGGTGGATAAATAAATGTAGAAGCATCTAAAACTACCAGGAACAAATTGTTTAAAGTCAGATGAAGTGAATTCAACTTCAACACTATATAAACGTGTCATTAATATGCATATTCTTATTTCATTAGGACAAAATTCTGATCACCTAGTTTACTCTATAAAGTAGATTTAAATTCCCAATAAATGGTACTGTTCCAGTTGTCTGTTATGGAGGTGTAGTGTAAATTATCCAAAAAGTTCAACTCCATAGGAAGTAGTTTTTATGTTTCCTATTCCATAGTCAGACGAAAGATATGGAACTGTATTAGTGCATCATGCCAAAAATCTGGGGAAGTTAAGACACACAGAAGAAGACTTGTGATAGCTCCTTTGATCAGTAATGCACTTGTAAAGGAAGCGGTGACTGGTTGATTTAGTAAATGAGTATAAACGAGTTCAATAAAATTATTTGAAGAATTGAAGTTGTTGAATCTACTTAGAACGCTTAGAAAAATGGAGCACTTGTCAAAGAAATAGACGGTTAGGTAGCAATTTCATACAAGGAATTTGTTTCAAGTTTAAAATGCAGGAGTCTAAGTTAGTAGGTCACCAAAAAAATGACGTGGTTTATTTAATTGTGCAAAGAGACAGTAAGACACTTAACTTGTGTAGCTTGCATAATTAATTTGTTGATGTTCTATTTATTGGACATCCTTTGGTAAAGTACCATAAATTTATTTTTACTTTTTATTTTTCAATTTGGCTTTGACTATTCCATGATGGCCAGTATGAGGTAATATTCTTGAGGTGGTTTGAAAAGGTTTTTAGATTTAGTAGATCACCTCTCTTTGCCTGTTTTTGTGCTTATGGAAGGAATTATATACACAAGCATTTTTACAACAAAACTTTACGTATGCACTTCAATTTAGTTACCAAAATTATATTCACTGTTCTATTTTTATTTCAGTTTAGACACTGTCTACCTCCTTAGCTAAATTAATATAAAGGCTCATGTCGTGGTGATTGCAATGTCAGTGGTGTTGGGGGGAGGAGGGCTGCAGAGGGTTGGGGAAGAATATTGAGATTTTTCTTTTATTATATATATATTTTTTAAAGGTGCAATGTAAAAGCACATTCAAAAACACATCTGACTCATCTTATTTTCCTGAATGGTGCCGCTGAACCTTTTTTTTTTTGATAAGTAATCAGAGAATATATTAATAAGTCAAGAGATAATACATGGGAAATGTATTATCAATTTAAACAATATAGGAACGACATGAAATTAGGTACCCNAAATTAGGCAACCCTTCTATATGGCTATTAGCCAAAGTACTAAACCAACTATACAAAGTTAGATAAAAGAATTCTCTGAACTGCTCTATTGTTCTTTATTGGTCTTCAAAACAGCGGCTATTCCTTTTTCTCCACACGCACCATACAATGCATCCCGGAATAAGATCGCTGAACTTTTATTATAGATTTTGTTGCATATTATATTCATCTTGGCTATAATTTTTGCCTTAACTACTATTGTCAGGCCTAGCTTGGGCCATTTGTGAGTATATTGTTGAAGTGATTAAAGCGCCTACATTGTTTGCAACTCACTTTCATGAGCTGACTGCATTAGCTCATGAAAATGGCGGTTGTGAACATTCTTCAAAGAAGATTATAGGTGTAGCAAATTATCATGTCAGTGCACACATCGACTCATCAAGTCGCAAGCTCACCATGCTTTACAAGGTTGCTCTCTCTCTCATGTATATACGTTTAGCTTATCAAACTGTATCCTTGTGGTGACAGAGATTTACTGCATTCAGCCAACTTAAGCATGTACTTCTATTTTCCAGGTTGAACCTGGGGCCTGTGATCAAAGTTTTGGGATACATGTTGCGGAATTTGCCAACTTTCCTGAAAGTGTTGTTGCGCTTGCTAGACAAAAGGCCTCTGAACTGGAAGATTTCTCGCCCATGGTAATTGTTTCCAATGACGCCAAAGAGGTATTGCCCTTTTGTTATTCTTAAGTTTTTTGGTCGAAAGAAAAATGTAGTTCAAAATGTTCTGATTGCAATAGTTGATTAAATATTTTATTATTGTGTGCTATAACAAATAAGTGAAAAGATTAAATTGTTTTAAATTATGTGGTATAGCAAATAAGTTGAAATCGTGCCATTGATGTCAATCATAGAATATTAATGCCCGGTTTGGTCCACATTATTTTTTTCATTCTCATTCTTCTGCTAATTTTCAACCACACATTTTTCAATAAAATAATATTTTCTATCACATCAATAATTTTTCCTTCTTTTTCAGCCACATATTTCCCATCACATCAATAGTAAAAACGCATTTTTAGCTTCAAAATGTGCACCAAAATGGGGCTAAAACTGTCATATATAAAAGGAAGCCTGTAAGCAATTGTTTCTATTAATTTGCCTGAGGAGATGTTTTTTGAAGCATGATGGATTCTGGAATTACTCTTTCTAGAATGATTAAGACTTAATTTGAAAAATTACTTGCACAAACACACAATGAATTTTCTTGGAAAAATACGATCCAGATTAGATCTTGGTGACTTTTGAGCCATTTTCTATCAAGTTCATCAATGGCTATGCTTTCTTGTGATAGGGGCTTCCTACTCACTGACTAGTGCTTTGAGCGTGGTCAGTGAGTAAAGATAACTATGTGAAAACGGAATGATCTCGTGCGGATAAATTTTGCTGCTATTTGAGAGACAGAAGTTAAGATAAAGTTTCGGAGTGAGGGAGTTTCAGCACTTGTAATTGTTAAAATTTGAGTAAAATATTCGAAAAAGATAAATTGGATGGAAACATTATACTTAAAATTCAAACTTTATGAAGGCTCAAAGAAATAGTTAGCCCTTGTTTGATCCACACTTCCCAAAATTCATTCTTTCAATATTTATTTTCAATCATATATTTTTCAATAAAATAATATTACACGCAAATTCAAAATTTTTTCTTATTTTTTAACTATATATTTTTCATTACATCACATCATATCATAAAATGCATTTTCTTCTTAATAATGTGCATCAAATACCCCCTTAGTGGCAGATTCAAAAGTCTTGAGGACAATGTTGATTACTGCGCCAGTGAGATGAATAGACTAAAGATCCATTCAAAGTTCTGACTCTTTAACTGGCAAAATATCACTGAGGAGAAATATAGGCTAAATAAAGAAAAGTTAACATCTTCCTTTCAGTTAGAAACATACTGTCAGATTGGAGTTTGTTGTTGAAGAAGTTGCTCCTTTGTCTCCAACCAACCTTAATGGCCCTATTAAGATAACTATCAATATTTTGTTTCACAATTGGCTATGTATAGAGATTTATAAATTGCAGTAATTATACTAATGATATTCAGATTGTTGCTAAGCGGAAGAGAGAGTTCGATCCTGATGATATATCTAGAGGTGCTTCACGAGCTCACAAGTTCTTAAAGGACTTCACTGAGTTGCCACTAGACAAGATGGACTTGGAACAGGCATTGCAACATGTGAGCAAATTAAGGACAGAATTGGAGAAAGATACAACAAACAGTTGCTGGCTCCAGCAGTTCTTTCAATAACTGTCTTAAGATGTTATCCCTGTCTTCTACATTGTTTTGGTATTTGTGATGTTCGTGACTTTGTAAATGAGATGCGAATATTTATTCCTGTATGCGGAAGCACCAAAAGTAAAATCAGACCTTCTATGCAGTCGGCACTGGAGTCTTTGGAAGATGTTGTAATCTCTGTACGGGTTTTCAATAGTTTTTGACCTCAACAGTAAATTTTGTCACCATCCGTCACCTGCTCAAGGTTCTGAGTTGGAGTTGTTATTTCTATGGCTAAATGCAGCGCCGCTCTTGTATATATTGTCATCTTCTGTATGCACTGTTTCTTAAATGTTAAGTCAAGACTACATTAATTGTGGTCATTCGGCTCTTTATCAATTATCACGAGTTGCTGTTATGTACTCAGTAGATGTTTCTACTGCTCAACTCGTGCTTGAAAGTTATAGTATTGCTCCAGCATCTGTTGCTTACTCTTTTGGAAGTTCCTAGATTGTGTGAAATAGCGAAGTTCAAATGTTATGGCGTTGAAAATGAGATATTATTTCCACGTTCCCAAATAGGTTAAACAGGACAAAAAGAGCTAATGCTTTTCCCTCTTAATTAGGTTAGAATGTTCGAAAACCCATCTATATAAAGGGTGGTAATATTGAAACTATTTTTTGTTCATCGTACTGCATTATTTTTGTTGCATTCTCACCTTCAACCTTTAATTAAATTTGTTTTTTTCATGATATTGTTTCCATTCAAATATTCTCTCTTTGAAATGAGAAGGAAAATATTGAATTTTTTATTTATCGTTTATTTTTCTCATTTAAAAATTTATGGGAAAAATAATTTTTTTGTCCTAGCGATTTTTTAAACAAAAACTGTCGTTAGAAACAAGAATGTGCTAATTAATGGAAGGCACTATATAAGAATGTGACGAAAAAAAAATTGAGAAACTTACAATAACATGCAAAGCTTTGAAAACTTCTAAAAAACAAAAAATATCGCATTAATATAACCACCGCTTTTATAAATTGCTAGCCGTTTTCTTCATGTTCACAAGTGAAAGGATTTGTTTTCTTCATGTTCACAAGTGAAGGGATTTCTGAATGTAAAAATTTTAAGCCTAGCATCCTAATTTTTCTTGTTATGTGATTTGTACAAAGAATAGAATATTATAGATGTACAAAATTTTGCCCCTGTTTGGCCCCCATTATTGTAGATTTTTAGGGGGTTGAAAATTTTTAGAATAGTGATTGATGGGAGATGTGTGGTTGAAAAGTTTTAGATTTGTGTGTATTATTATTTTATTTGATGAATGTATGGTTGAGATGAAGAGAGAGAAAAATTTAATGTAATGTAATGAGATATTGAAAAATTTAATGTAATGTAATAAGATATAATGAGGGGCAAACAAGGGCAATATGATTACAAGAATTTCTCATAGTCAAAGGTTGTTTATGATAGCGATAAAAGGTTGTTTATGTAATCAAACAAACAAAGTAAAAACTAAAATTGTAACTAAGAAGTAGTAGGAAATGATAATCCAAGGCAAATGATGACACTTTCTCCTTAAGACAATATTGTCCCACTACGGTACTCACGGTTGTCGGTACTTGTCTCCCAAGATACAACGGATTCAATTCTTGTGATGGCAGCACTTCAAACCACAAGACAACGACGAACGTGACAGAATTCCCTCTCTACAAGCAAAATGGTTTTGGAATGAATTTGAGAGAGTTTTTGTAAGATATTTTATGAATGCACAATGCATGTATGGTATGGATGCAAAAAGGGGCGTCCAAGGGGTCTTATATATAGAAAATGAGGGGTTGTGAATGAAATGCCGCGCCTCAAACTCAACAACTCTTGCCAAAAGTCGCACCATTCACTATCGCTAGCCTATCGCCATCGCCTTGCTCGAACGGTAAAACCAGTGACTTTTTCGCTGGCCTGTCGCTCGAGCGACAGCCCAATCATAAGCTAGCAACAGCCTTCGTTAATTTTTCAGACAACTTCCTCCATTTTCCTCCCAATTTTGAATCGCAATTTCTCATTCATCCAGAATTGATTTTGAGATTCCAAATATACCGCGACGATCTACTCGACGAGTAGTACAAATTGGTCTATTTACATTTGTAATTTGACCATCGGATCAAGTTCGAATATTTGGCCAAAGTAGACACGAAAGTCACTTTTTCCAAATTTTTGGTTTTGACACTTAAAAACAAATTTTCAATCCAACAAATATTTGTCTTAGACTGTCTTACTATTTCTCATGCTTTTTGGGAATTTCCATGTAAATAGGTGTTACTTTTCTCCATTTTTATATATTTTCTGACTTGGCTTCTATATTTATCTGAACAACGATCATTTATGCTAATTCAGGAATTGATCTCAACTTCCAACAATTTGCATCAATCATAGCTCTCACAATTTAACTGTCCGGTCAATCAATATTAACAAAGCTACTCCTGCATTCGGGTTAAACTTCTCAATATGGACGCCCAGATATTCTGGCTAAGAACTCGCCTAAAAAGGGATTGGTTAAATATCAAAATATGCATTGTACAATTCAGTTATTTGCCACAAAAATAGCAAGCCGGTAAGCATTGGATAAGAAATACAAGCCAGCCACTGACTTGGATGGAGACGTACTGTTTTCCCTTTCCCTTTTCTTTGGAAGGGTGTGTGTGAGCGCACCTCTCTTTGTGACATCACCACTAATACAATGAAGTCCCTAAAAGCTCTACTAAGGGAAAATGATGCACTGATATCCGCAAAAAATAGTCAGCACCATTTCAATTCTGAATGAAGCTTCTTGCGCAAGACCCAGTACAACAACCTCTTTCGTCCCAATTTCCACCACACAGGCACTGCTTCATGTCTTCTCTTTCTTTTCTGCTTTTCTGCAGACCATTCTCAGAAGAAGAAAAAAAAGAAAAAGAAAAGTAGTCAAAACCTCAGTAATGATTGCATTGCTGGCTGTTGAAAAAAGAAGAAAAGAAACGATTGCATTGCACTGCCAGTCAATAGTATTAAAGATATAGTTAAGTTTCCATGAATGGTGAAACTGCTGAAGTTCATCAAACAGAACAAGATTTTCTTGATTGGCTGTTGAAAGCATGTAATGTCCCCCTAATAGCCTAATCGACTGTCAATTCATGCAAGTACGCACATCTAAATAAAACTATAAACATATATAACAAATGCTAATTGCACTAAAGTAATATTATAATTTTTGCTGTGGTTATATAACATCAGTTTTTGCACAATGTTCGTCCCCTCGTAACTATCTGAAATCACCTATACTATAACTATACAAAAAGAACATCTCCTTGCTTATTACAATTTTATATAAAGTAAACACCTTAATATAGTTTAGTACTTGTTTTAGTTATTTGTTTATTTTATTGTTTTATCCCTAAGGTGTTGTATATTTTGAGAATTGATGTGCCCCTTATTTATGCTTCCTAGTACATCACTTGTTACCATGCATTATTTATTTCAAGCAACAGTTCACATGGAGTGAAACAAGGCAAGAATTGTGGCAGGGAATACAAAGGTCAATACTAAGACATTGAGTCTCTTTAGAAAAACTACAAACTGAAACAAGGCTGGATGTGAAGAAAATATCACCACCTCCAGTGAGGCAAAGATTAAACGGAGCAGCAAAAATTTCACTGTCAACCATAAACACAGCAAAGAAAAACTAGCACTGGATAATTTTCTTCAGGCGTCAAGTGTAAATGCCAATAGGAACAAGTGAGGGAAAAAAAGGGAGCTGGAGGCATGGAGCTAGACCACAAACTATAGAAGGAAAAAAATCAGAATTTTACTTACTTGCATGATGGAAGGCATAAGATCCCCATTCTGATTCTAATTTAGAAAAGTTGGGTTCCAGTGCAGGCCAATATTTCATCTGAATTTTTAGGACCTCTAAAACAGTTCGCAATCCAGCCTTGGTAGGTACGATGCTATCCAAATTGCATTCAGGAGATTCCCCAAGTAAGACCTTAATGAACAAAGAATTGAATTAGAACAAACCAAAAGAATGGAAGAATGCATAAGCAGTAAAAATATAATACAAACAAGAACAAAACAAAGAACGACCCTAATCCCCAAACCAAATAAGAAGTTACTCTATATATATATATATATATGGATCGGATTCAGGTTGGTATCAGTTGTTTGACAACTCCAGTTCAAATATTTAACAGTCCAAAATTCAGCTATTTCAAGTCACATTGAATTATCTCTCAAATTTATCTCTTGTTTGTCGCTTAAATAGAGTTTGTGGAATACTAATTAAGAGCATGTTTGATGTAGATTTTTTCAGAATAGATTTTGTGAAGAAATGATTTTTTTTTGGAGAATGTATGGTTAAATAGCTGGGAATAAGTTATGGATCCACGAGTAAAATTGTTTTATTGAGAGATTGTGTGGTTGAAAATGAGTTGGGGAAAAATTGGGTTTTTTAGAATCTCTACCAAGCATGGGGGAGTTTATTTTATGAGTATTTTAGTTAATTCGATCATTTAATTTTAATGTTTTTGGCACGAGGCTTTTCCACTTCTGCCACAACCAGAAACTTCCAAAATTGCTAAAGGTTTCCAATAACAAAAAGTCAACAGAAAACGAATTAAAATATAATTATACAAACATGCAAATATTAAAATCCCCAAAACTAAAGGCAAAATTATATTTGACTAGATATTTAATGGAAATATATTGGATGCATGTCTTACAGTTTAACTTGTTATGCTAGGGATTAATTCACTCAACTCCCATGATTTTTAAATCGCGACAAATCCTGGTTCATTTATACCAGCTGCAAGTATGTTTTCCTAGATAACAGTCCGTGGTTATCAAGACTTGCTAGATTTTCTGCCAATAAAAAAGCCCACGAAATGCACAATACCAATGGCTTGGGAAGCAGTAACTGATCTACACATTTGATAGGTCTGTCATATTAAATTCAGGACGAAAAAATTCCAAAGCTGTAATAGTGTAGATGAGATTCAGGA